ACCCCCTAAGTTCATTTTTTGAGTGTATATATTATTTTTCCATGATGACAGGTGAGGCTCTGCCTCAACTGCCTCCCCTGACCGCGCGTCACTGGTAGAATTTTGAGGAAAGAGATTAATTTACTACAACTTGGAATATGGTTTAACAATAGAAAATGTGGAAAAAGCAAAGCACTGTAAATACTTTCTGGATGCACTCTATCCCTCCAAATCAGACATGTTTATGCAACAATAAGGACAAAAAAATGTAAAATAATGTCTAGGTTTTTCCAAAATTGGGGTCAGGACTCCGTTTGAGGTCCGTTGTACAAAAAACAAAAGACCCTGCATTTGTAAAAATGACAACAGATAAAATGAAGCAGTGTTGATTGTGATTATAACCTTGTTCAACTGATTTAGTAGTGAATCAGTTGATAGGAGGTGGAACAACTCTGTCATTTCATAAGTGAGAAGCTGAAAAGTCTGGGAGCCACTACAACACAGGCATCCCAACACAACTTTTGGAGAAATCGTCTGTAAAGCAGTTAATGGTGTTTTAATGCATTACAAGTTCTTGGAATTGTTATCCTTAAATGTGCAAAATAAATAAATAAATAAATAAATAAATAAATAAATAAATAAATAAATAAAAATAAACAAAAAAAAAACTTTTATTTGAAATTTCCAAGTCAGCATAAATTTGCATAGCAGCTGGGTGTAAAGATTTTTGTTTTTTATATCCTTCTTTTTTTGGTTCTTATTTATTTTTATCTTTTAAACTTTTCTCTGAAAATTAGACTAAGAATGTTATTTTGTTGAAGGAAAAAAAATCAGTCTGATATATTTTTATTTTTATTGTACGTATTTCCACTTGTTGGTGATAAAATAATCTTAAACTAAAATACATTAACTAGAATATGATAATACTGGAACACTTGCATATTGATATCTCTTTCGTATTTGAACAGCGCTCTCATGTGGACAGACTGGTAGACTTTCCCTATTTTGGCCCCTGTTCCTTCACAGATCCATTTTCCAGAGTTTTCAATCATCTTGTTCTTTCTATGTTTATAAACAGAGCGTAGCGATAAAAAAAAATGAAAAGGAAAAAAGATGTGGGTAAACCAGGTCCTGTGCTTTAACATCATGTAAAATGAGCTAGATATAATTTAAATGTCTGATATTTCACCAGAGACCTAAAAAATATACTTCTTCTATTCACCGCTCAAACTGCATGCATTAATTTGTTAAGACTTTTTTGTATTTTTTGCATAGAAAAAAACAACTATATTCTAATTTACAGGCAGAAAGTGACTTGGAAGAAATTAAGTTAATAATCAATAGTAATGCTTTTAGAGCTTTTATAAAATTTCAACAAACCACTGAAGAAAAACATGAGTTTCCTGAATTGAAAACATGAACTGTAGCTGAACTACCTGTGACGTTCAGGAAAGGAAGGATGTCATGAATCTGTTTTGTCTTGCTACAAAAATACCGCATGATACATTTGTTTTTGGCACTATCCTCACATGTCCACTTTATTCACTTCTGCTCCTAACATCACTGTGAAGAACTGAGAGGTTCCTCAGCAAGGCATGAGCAGAATAGACTGAATCAAACTGAGCTGATCTGTAAATCATTAAATGCCATATAGGCCTTTCTCTTGAACAGTGCACTACCTCTAAGACAGTTTAACTCATTATAGTCAAAGTTCTACCTTTGCCCTGCTATTTATTCATATTATGACATGATTTGTTCCTATTTAAAATAAATTGTTTGGTAGTGATATTACATGAATATTTTATCAAAATTATCAAATTAGTTTTCTTGATTTAATGGACTTTATTGAAAATAGACACATTGCCGTCGTGGGTACCCAAAATATTACACAGAAATAAATTAATGCAATGTTCCATCCAGTCATAGGGAATCTCAGTGCTGTCACTGCTTAGACCTTTATAAGCTGAACTTCGACGTAAAGCAATCATACACAAGCACCTAAGAAGGAGAAAAAAAATAAGATCTCTCTTGCAAATGAGTCTCAAGACTCAGGAAAGATGTATAAATAAAGAAATAAAATTAACTCTGTTCACTATGCTTTTCAAAACATAATTACTAAAAGCAATATCTGAGCCAAGTCCAGAATGACAAATATGTATAATTTAGTGATTTTCATTCGCTAAAGAGTAAAAGTCATTAAGACGTTAAAGAACCTATTGAAATACACTGCTCACAAATGAAAGGAAACACTAAAAATAACATAGATCTTAATTAAATATTATCAAAACTTTATTATTAACATGGTGATATTGATTGAGAAGGAAATAACAAAAATATCAATGTACTACTTAACTCCTAGTGACATTGATTCCACAAAGGTGTGACTGATTGGGAGTTACATTAGTTTAGGTGTCCCCTTTATTTTTTGAGCAGTGTAAAAATATTTCTTTGTTATAATTTCTTAGTTTATTATGTTTTTTATTTGTTACATGTTCATTCACATACACACACATTCACACACCGACACACTTACAGCTGTTCTGGGGCAGTCTGACAAAGAGAAGTCATGCAGCGGCGCCACTAGGACCTCTGACCACCACCAGCAGGCAAGGGCGTGAAGTGTCTTGCCCAAGGACACAACAATAAAGGCGGATGGAGTGGGAATCAAGCTACTATTTGATCCCTGAATTATATATTAAATGAAATTACTCATCTAATACAAGTAAGGTAGCTATAACTGGTAATCTTTTTTACAAAATCACACTTAATAAATTCCAAACAATCCCTTTACGTGTGTGGTCAGCCTTATTGGATTTTGGAGTCCTGAAATCACATACTGAAATAGGCACATTTCAGTATGTATCTATGTTTATGACAAAACACAACACACTGAAAAACTTAAAAACCTGTTTTGTTCTCTTTTCAAAGCAATGGAAGTCGTTTTTTTTTTGTTGTTGTTGTTTTTTTTTGGGAAGGGGAAACGTAGTGTTTACAGAAGTGGCAGTTGTCATTAACCTTTTGGAAACCACTACACATAGGTCTCAAGAAGGGTCTTTGAACGCAACAGCAGTCCGATTCCTAGAAAATCCGCTCCGGGTCTTCCTATGATCCGACCGGACTCCATGTTGTTCTGTCAGCTTCAGAGCGAGCAAGTGCACTGGCCGAAAACTCTCACGTTGCAGTTTTCGGTGCCTGACAAGAAAAAGTTGTTGCAGACTCTCCCCGAGGGTGTAGCCCCTTCAGAAAAATATGGCAGACTACCGGGATGACAACGGAGCTCGGGCTCTGCTTGCATTACAGTCGGCGCCGTGTAGCCCCGTGCGCGTCGCGGTGACCTCTCACTCCTATCACCAGCCCTCGCTCTCTGTCTTGGGTCCTCCAATAATGGAAGCTCGCTGCGATGCCGGAGGTTTTCCTGCAAGGCTCTCTTCTACTCCTCCGCAGGCCCTTGCGAGGCTCGAGGGCCGGGACTTTGAGTTTGTCATGCGCCAGAGGACGGTCACCATAGGCCGGAACTCGTCCCACGGCTCGGTGGACATCAACATGGGTCACTCGAGCTTTATTTCAAGGCGACACCTGCAGATAACTTACGACGAGGCGGGTGGCTTCTCTCTGCGGTGTCTGGGGAAGAACGGCGTGTTTGTTGACGGCGTGTTCCAGCGGAGAGGAGCTCCGCCGCTACCGCTGCCCAGAGAGTGAGTGTAGTTAGCTTAACTGTTAGCAGCGCCTTGCAAAGTTTTAATATGCCATAAATAATGAACACATCATGGTTTATGACGTCTCTAATCAGTTTGCATACTTTGCACTTAAATTAAAAACTGTGTGTGTATTTTAAGAAGTTTACTGCACGTTTATTTTTCTGGCAAAATAAAATTGAAGCCTAGCATACAACTTTCTAATGTTCACATTTACACGGTCAAATGGGGGGGGGGAGCGTTTTTGTTTGGGCGTACAAAGTTCGTCCCATTGTTTACTATAAATTATATGTCAATTTCATTTGTTATGTGCTCTGTAGCTATTGTGTTTTAGTTCTGAGCAGATTTTGCTTCATTCGTTCTGGCCTACTGACTCAGTACCCAAAATATGTGGATACTGTTTTCAACAATGTGTGCAGATTGTTCAATTATTTAAAAAAAAAAAAAATCATGCAATCCAATCTAAAACTATTTCATCAACGTTAATGGCCCGTGTTGTTTTTATTTATTTAAAAAAAAACATTAGCTCATCACGTTAGCTTCATATTAGCTGTGTGGCTCTAAGTCAACGTGTCACCGTCACGTAAACATTAATGTAAACAAACGCACCCCTGACAACTCCTCTCACGTGTTATGTGGAAACAGTTCTAGTTTCTGTCTGAAACCTGGGCTACGTATGCTTCTAATGAAANTACCTACGTAGTGAGTGTACTTTGGTCTTCACTATAAATATCTTTGCATTATGTTTTAGGGTTTTTTTCTCCCCTGACCAGTTTTTGTAAATAAACAAAGGTAACCTGCAGAACTGATATGTGTATATATTGACAAATCACTGAAAAGGTTAGTTGTTCTGTTTGATTGGTTCCTTTGACTGTTTAGGGGCGTGTTCGCTGCTGAACCGGAAGTGTTGCCTGGAAGACCTGCATGGAGAAACTATAACACCATATCCACCAGAGCCATGTTTCCATGTGGTTTTCCAAGTAGTACACAGTTTGACAATAATCTGGGTGATCTTTTGTGTAGTAGAAGAAACTTGTGTTTATTAAAAAATATTAACTAACATGCAGCTGAGTTTATAGTAATTTTACATTAAGATTTTAGGGTTATTTAAAATTGCACACACACTTCAGTTGTGCTGTAGTTGTTCTGAAGCAGGAGAAATTGGAAATTCTGTGAATGAAGTAGAACTCTAAACACAAAATTGCTATTTAGTTTTACATTTAGTTGTAGCAGTCATAAAAGTGAAATGAAAAAAGTTCTTTCTTATGAACTTAACAGCACAACTACCAAGAAACTGAGAAAACCTCGTGTTTAATGCTAGCTGTGCTGCAAGCATGTTAAAAAGTTCAGAATGACACATTTTTTCCCCCTATGACTTATATATATAACTTCTTATATATATAACTTCTCTGTAAAAGAAACAGTCTAATAAATTATGTTGGGGAGGTGTTGACATCAGTCTTTTTTTGACAATCTCATTAGTTATTTAATCCATAATTATTCATCTATTCAAAGGATCTTTTCTGTTTCTGAATTTGCCTATTATTTTTCCAGAATCAACAGTTGAGTGTTACTCAGACATGTGTCAGATGAATAGCGTAATTTTCTGATCAATTTAACAGAATTTTGTTCATGAATGCTGACTCAGGTAGAGTCTTTACCTTTGGGTAACTGGATTCTGAGAGGTCCCAGCAGATTTTCCATGCAGTCTTTTCATTATTCCCTTCTCAAGTCATAAAATGACTTGCAGTGGCTACAGGTCAACACAGCATACAACAGCTGGCCCTGGTGTTTTTCATGTGATGCTACATTAGATCACATGGCCTGATTAGACTTCTAAACCTTTTGTCTCAGAGCTGCCTGTGTCCATTTCATATATTTGTTGGATTTTTTCTCGATTAAAATTTTTGCTTCTTCAGCAAAACAACCTCCACTTTCTTTATATGACAAGGAAAATATAACTAGTCATCGTCCTCTTATTGTAAAATACTTAACACATCATTTAGACAGATATCTTTTCTAAAGGTTTGTTTAGGTTTAAACTGGGATGGCCTGGTGGTGATTCTCGCTGCTATTCAGGCATTTGCTCAGACCTGCTAAAAGTATAAAAGAAGAGAGAGATTTAGGAAAACGGGTTTTTGTGTAAACTTTACACCAGTACAGTGTGTTTGCCCACAAACCGCTTGGTTATTATATAAACACACTTTTGAGGTAACTTAAACATGTAGCCATGTTTTATTTGTATGTTGTGTGACATATTTGTTAGATTTATATGTTGCATTTCCTGTTGCAGTAAATTCCAAATGTTTTGAACTTCTTGCACACCTAACCTCTACAAAGGTTTGCTGTGTTTTGCTTTTCAGGTGATATTTGATGTTTTTCTGTGAGTTGACTTGTGTTGGTCTGAAGTGTTGTTAGAGTAAGGATCTGTTTTCTACTGATCATGTGATAGCTAACTTTTGATCACTGAAGGTCTTTGTGGAGGAGAGAACGAACCAGTGTGGCTAAGTTCCTGTTTTTTTTTTTATTTTTATTTTTAATCTTTTTTTTCTCTCGTCTTTCCTCTCACTGTTGTCCTTCTCTCTTCTAGGTGTGTGTTTCGGTTTCCCAGTACCGTCATCAAGATCCAGTTCACGTCACTCCTGGAAGTGGAGGAGCACAGGGAGAAGGAGCAGCCCTCTCCCCCGCCCCGCCCGCTGCTGCCCCACATCTCCCCTCTTAAGATCAGCATTCCCACCGTGCAGCAGCATGAAGAGCACATCAGGGCGTTTGGCTCCCCGCTGCCGTCACCCACCGGCACAATCAGGTGAGCCACCAATACATGTGTGGAACATCTAGCTGACAAGTTTACATTCAGCTTTGATCCCAGTTAAATGTTTTCATAGATGGTTCATTTCTTGATTCCGTTTTCTTGCTTAAAGACTCCTCTCTATTTTATGGTGCACATCTGTTAGACATTTTGGTGATATGAGACTTTAAAAATTGATAATAAATTGACAAAGCTCATGCAGTTTTTATGTTACTTTTCACTGGAACCTAATTGTTGCACTTGACTGGATGTGTTTTAATCTGAATACATGACTGCACTGAACGGAATTTATTTAAAAAATATAATGTAGCAATTATTTTACTCAACTCATGATTTTTAGGAATTTGTTTATTATCTTAAAATATTCAACAGAAGTTTCAAATGTTTAAAAAAATGAAGTGCTGAAAAGTAATGAAGTACTTCAGGTTAGGCGTCAAACGGTGACACTGTGTGAGGTTTTGTTGCAGCAGAGTGTTGGTGATGAGCAGCTGACCTGATGACAGACATTAACTAGTGAAGGAAACACACAACCTGCAGACAGTTTTTTTCTTTTTTTTTTTCTTTTTTAGCTGCCTTATGACACATTTAGCTATAAAGCTAAACATGTCTACACTGTGACTGTGGGTTCAAGGATTTATGCAGCCGACCAGATTAACTTTACTTCGTCCTGTTTTAATCACATTAAATTATGTATTGTTTATATATGAGTGAATTGAATTTAAACTTGACAACACAAACAAATAAGCTAAATTTAATACATACAAATCATTTTAAAGCTACATATAAGGATATTTAATAAGGTGTTAAGAAACCATTTTTTTGTCTTTTCCGTTTGGAGTTGCACCATGAGTTAACTAAGTTCATAAATACTTAAATATTGTTGTAACTTATTAATTCAAAATTCTTCAAAGAGTTACTGTATTCTTATTTATTGAGTTGTGTTTCAGTCTCATCACATTTGACCCTCTGCTTATCGTTTTGCATATACATTTAAAAAACTGGGCTTCATTTGATTTATTTTTATTTAGTGGAAGTTCAATTTCTAACACATTTCATATTTAAGGTGGAAATCTCAACAGAAATTTTGTACTATATATAGTGGACTCATAACTGAGGAGCCAGTTTGATTGCTGGTTCAGTGCCCTCTGGTGGTGGATGCTTGCCTGTACAACAATCATACCCACCAATGTGGGCCTGTGTGTCCATGCCTTATATGGGATGGCTGCAGCTATGGTGCATGTGATTGGTTATTGGGCAGAGAGTTTTGCCTGTAAGCCACTTTTCAGTCCATTCGTGGTTTCCTTTACACCCCCATCTCACCTCCCCCACTTCAGCCGTTGGATAATGTTTCCTCGCATGTGGAGTCAAAACAAACCAAATATAAATATGATTGCTCATGCTTCTTTGCTCCACTTCCCCTGTGGCCTTTTTTAGGTTCATACTCGTAGCAACATGCGGCTCAGAGAGAAACTTCTGCTTCCTCCTGAAACACCAACATGGTCTCATTCAGGCAGATTGCTTACTTTTCTTGTCTGGCAGCTTCAGTGAATGACACAATACTAAACATTGTTCCTCTCTTTACGAACACACAGGAGGGCTGGAAAGTTTTCTTTTTTTTTTTTTTTAAAGATGCAGAATTGACTCTTGTTCAGTTATAATCCACTTTATTCTTAAGAAATTTGTTTTCCTTTCCTCATTGGCTTTAAGGTCTAAACTTTGAGCAATTGTGAAAAATGAATCCTGCAGCCACTTCCTCCTGTGAAGAAATGTAAACAAACTGTATTCTGTCCCTCTTGTTAGCCTTGATGGAACGGTATCCATGGCTCTCTGTTGTCAGAAGCAAATCAGAGCTTATGGACTCCCAGAAACCCCTACTTTCTTGCAGGTGTGAGAGAGGCAGGTGTGTGTAATACCTTGTGGGGACTATTTTCCTGACACATACTACGTTGTGGGGACCAACTGCTCCTTGTGGGGACAGAGGCCTGGTCCCCACAAGGGGAAACGTTGTTTTTGGTTCAGGGGTTAGATTTAGGACTAAGGTGTGAATTGAGTTTTGGTGAGGGATAAGTATGAAATGGTTAGGGTTAGGGTAAGGTTTAGGCTGTAGAAATTAATGGAAGTCGATGGAAAGTCCCCACAAAGATAGCCACACAAACGTGTGCATGCACATGTGTGTGTAATAGAAGCTACATGACTTACTGGTGCACCAAATCAAATCCAGTTAATAGTTAACTTGGTTCTCAGTATCGTTGGCTCGTTGTTGGATTGTTTTAGTTGTGCTTGTGTTGATCTGTTCAGTATGAAAAGACTGGATGAGGATGTAAACAATACTGATTTTGGATTCCCTGCTCTTTTCTGTTTTTGTTTTTTTTAAGTTTCCTTTGGGCTTCATTGTTTTAATGAAGGGAATATTTTATTGGCTTCACATTAAATAAACCTTTCTTTGCATTTTGTCTCATATCTAAAAACATCCATGTTGTTATGGTTCCACTTGACAGACCAACAAAGATAAATGATGCATGGATTTTAAAATGTTATTTACAAATATAAATGGCTTGTATTTGTTTTCATCCTTCCTGAGTCAGTACTGTGCAGGACCACTGTTTTTCTGCTGGAGACGTTCCAGCAGTAGCTGGAGACATTCGTCAACCAAAACAAGAGCAGAGACGGGTTAGCCACAGTCAGGTCAGGTTCTCAGGGGCCCCAAATCAGTAAGCAGTGTAGCCTCTGAATCCCAAACTCCTACTAGGGTGGCTACACTGGTTCTGGTGTGTTCAGGATGATGCTCAAGGTCTCTTCCATGTAGACCACAAATGGCCAGAGAACCTTGTGTTGTGGCCATTAAATGGCTTGTTGGAAACCCTAAACGAGATGACCTGGGACTCTTTCTGACAGTTTTTTCATAAATTCCATTTTTTCCGTTTATTTAACCAGATAAAACCCCTTTGAGATCCAGATCTAATTTTCAAGAGGGACCTGGGCAGAAATCTGCAACGCTAACAACCTGGTTACACAAACGTAAAATAAAACATGTGCACAAGTTTAAAACAAATTACAAAACAGTTTAGAAGCATTGACACCGACTGATAGAATCACGTTGCTCAAAAAAAGTCAGTGAAATAAGATCCAAATCAGCTCCAGTCTTTATTTTATTCTGAAGCTGATTCCATGCTATAGGAGCTATTTATGGAATAAAAATGAATTATGCAAATTCGTTCACCTAGACTTTGACTGCAGTTGCTGCAGAGTAACCAGGGCCCACACTGCCATGTTTCAGCAGGTTTAGCTTCCATTTCCAGATAGTGAATTGAACTGTTCTGTGAGATTTTCAAAGCTAATCCTCCTTTAAACATCTCCAGTACTTCCTCCCAGCACCCCTTTCTTTTAACAACAGCAATCCGTCTGATTGGTGTAATCTATGTAACTACCATTAATACAAACAAAATGAAAATATTTTGGAAACTTGAAAATATTTTCTATTAATGTTCCATAAAATGTATTTCTATATCTCTTAAATAAATCTATCTTTATCTACTGGAGGGGAATATTTCACCCTGGCACCCAAACCAGGTCACACTTTTTATCTGGTGATGAGTGGATTTTTGCTGCATGTCAAGAGCAGAGCTATCAGTTCTTTCTACTCTTGCCTCCTCCGGATGAACCAGGAGTAGAAGAGTTACTTCAGCTGTTACTTGCTGAGAGCAAACTGCTACCATTGAAGCAAAATTATTTGGCACATTTAAAAAAAACCCGCAGAAATCCTGGGTGCTGGTTTTTTGTGACAGGTCTTTTTTGTACACTCTCTGCTGGCGGGATCGTGAGTTCACCCGCTTGCATGTGCAGCTGACTAGGCGCGTGTGTCCCACACTCTTAATGTGTTGGACACACAGTAGGAGTGCCTGTTTTCATCCAGCTTTTGTCAACTTTGACGTTAGTGCTTTTGAAAATTTGCGATGATCTTGTGCAAGCCGAGCAAGCGGTGTGGTTTGGTGCTCGCACCCTGGGACTGTGTTACCTGTGTGAATGAGACGAGCGACCACATATGGGTACAAATCGCTCAAGCTGTGGCATTACTTTGATAGACTAATAAAATCAATAACTTTACCTGTGAAGACCTTGAATACTATATGTCGTGATCTTGGTTGGGATCTTGGAGGGCAGGTGATGGTAGAGGAAACACTGCAGTCTTCATGAAGCTGTTTGTTTCTTCTTCCTTTCCCAACCTCTGAAACTGTGACAGAACAGTTTAATTTACTGTTAAATTACATCTGCTGTAAATCCTGCTTACTTATTAGGGGTCTATTCAAATATTTGATTGCTCTAGTTTTCTTCTACTTTACACACATGTAACTATTTGATGGCCTATCACATCCTGGAGTGATTGTTTCAAAGATGTGAAAAATCTTTAAGGATTTAAAAGTCTTTCATCAGTAACTGTTTTAATTTTCCTTTTTTGTGCATTTAAAAGCTACAGACCATATAATCTGCAGTCAGTAATCTGCAGTCAAACAGATTACTGCTTCCCTGTGTGTCCCTGTTGACACGTTCTCCAGATTATATTCACTTACACATGGTTACATAACCTTTATCTATCAAGTCATAAAATACTGACTTCTTATACAATGGAAGTGAACAGTTTACATTGTTCAAATCAGCATTAATCATGATAACCATTGTAAAGATGACTATTATGTTTGTATGTCAGTTTCTCTTTACATATTTGCTGCTTGTTGTTTTGGTGGCAGAGTTTCTGTGAGGAAGTTGAAGCTGGAGATCAGCTGAACATTTAGTGGAAGTGTGAAACCTCGTTGGTTCGTTCTGCTTCCATGAGCCCACGGGAAGCTGTGTGTGAACGTAGCACTGCACAGCTCATCTGGAGCATAACGCAAACGCAGAGAGAGGAAACTGATCAACACAACCTCACGCTGCCATTGGCTGATATATACACACGCCCTCTGCAAAGTAACCTAGGAAAACGTAAGCACACACCTTTCTCTTCTCTACAGTGTTCCCAACTCCTGCCCTGCTAGCCCTCGAGGGGCAGGGTCATCAGGGTATCGCTATGGACGCAATGTGACCTCCGACCTTCAGTTAGCTGCAGAATACGCTGCGAAGGCTGTATCTGAGCAGAGGCGAAGTCTTGCTGAGCACAGAGGTGGGGGAAGTGAGCAGCGTGTGGAGTCGGTGGGCGGAGACAGCCCCAAGGTAAAAATAATGTCTGTCCCACACAGACCTGTCCTTTTTCTAGCAGTGGACAGGTTTGTGATGCATATTCATAGATCCTTTATTTGAACATGAGAAATCTCTTAAGACTTAAAAGAGATTGTTGCTCTGTTTGTCCAGGATGAGTCCAAGCCTCCGTATTCCTATGCACAACTGATCGTCCAGGCCATCTCTTCAGCTCCAGACAAACAGCTTACCCTCAGCGGGATTTATGCCCACATTACCAAACACTACCCCTACTACCGCACTGCAGACAAGGGCTGGCAGGTACAGTTCTCCTCATCCATCTGGGAGGCTGTGAGCCAAACTCAGGGTGCTTCCTGGTGAACAGGAACATTGTCGAAAATAGAATAAATTTCAGTAATTCACTTTAGAAAGTGAAACTTGCAGATTCATTACAGAGTGAGATATTTTTATTCCCAAAATTCAAGAATTTGGATTCTTGAATCCTGACAAACTGACAAACCAGGTTTTGTAGATCCTTTTAGTGTAATGTTTAGTGGAAGGAAAATGTGGCGGTAGGAAAAGTGGATGACCAGAACATCCAAAATCTTTACACCTTCAAAGGGATTACAGAGAGAAATGGACTTCTCCAAGATGCACCTAGCTATGTGTCTACAAAAACTGTAATGGTGGAGAGTAGAACATTAATGACTTTAATGTCCTTTCTCCTCATTAGCCAGTTTTTCTCTTATCTCCATGGGAGAAAGCCGTGTTTTTACAATGGCTTTCTGTGTTTTGTCCAGAACTCAATCAGACACAACTTGTCTCTGAACCGCTACTTCCTGAAAGTAGCCCGTTCTCAGGACGAGCCTGGGAAGGGAAGTTTCTGGCGCATCGACTCAGCCTCTGAGAGCAAGCTGGTGGAACAAGCCTTCAGGAAGAGACGGCAGAGAGGCGTGGCCTGCTTCAGGACTCCGTTCGGACCTTTGTCGTCACGGTATAATCCTAAATGATTTCTTTTTTAGTTGTCAGTGGCACCAACATGAACACTGAACCTTTATCCCCTTTGTCTGCTTCTGTCACTTGCTGTCATGTGATTGGACAGAACCAAGTAAGTGTTGTGTTGAGTTGTGTTTTGGTGAAAGATGGCCGCAGCAACACTGCGCCTCATGACATCACAGCTGTTTGTCAGTAATGTGGCTGAATTTTCTTCTCCTTGGCTTTCTGATTCAGGAGTGCACCGGCGTCTCCCACCCATCAGGGGCTGCTGTCCCCTTCGTCCAGTGGGCTGCAGACTCCTGAGTGTCTGAGCAGAGAGGGCTCTCCCATCCCTCAGGACCACCATGAGCAGCTGGCCAGCAAACTGGCGTCTGTGCCGGAGTACAGGTACTCCCAGAGCGCCCCAGGTAAGCCCAGATAAACAAACACCAAACATTCTGCCCACTCTAAGGCAGTGTGAGAAATGAGTGAAAATGTGTGTGAACAGGCTCCCCAGTCAGCGCTCAGCATGTCATCATGGCTGCCCCCCCCCACCCAACTGTCCTGAAGCCCATCAACATGCTTCAGAGTGCCCCGCAGCCTTCCGTCACCATGGTGCGTGTGGTCACCAGCGCTCCTCTAGTGCCTGCCCCCCCTAATGGCTACAGCACTTTGACTGTTGGAGGACTGGAGAGCAACAGCGACATCAGAGGTGAGGACAGGAACTTGCTGAGAGGCCAGACCCTCTTGAGGAAACAAGGCTGTGGTTTATACCAAACTAATGTCACCTGCAGACTTCTGCTGTTGAGAAACCATTGCTTCTCAACAGCAATGGTTTGCTGTTGAGAAGCAAACCATTGCTGTGGCCTGTGTTGAGGTTTTAAACTTTACCCAATTGCTAACGCTTCCATGTGTCGAATGTAATGTACCAGTTCAATACTAAGAAGCTTCCGGACATTGCCTGCACTGTAAGCAACCATCCTCCACAGAGAAGAACTGATTTGAAATTAGGCAGCTGTTAATGATAATTTAATATTTAGAGTGCGAGTCCAACACAGACTGAACAGCTTCATTCACTTCCTCTGCTGCCATTGATAAAACTACAGACAGACAATTCTAAAGCAGCCCATCGTTCTCAACTTCTCCTTCTGTTCACTGATTGGCCAGCAAAAACTCTACCAGAGACTATGCTGGAAACAAGATTTTTTCTAACAGAATTGCACAGGAAGGCAATGGTCAGGCTAGGTGGACATACAGCATTCCTTCTTAATTATCTCTCAAACTGTGTGAAAAGACAGAAAAAATGAGTGTGTATGTTATTGATTTAGCATGTTGTGAATTCACACCTGACATTTGGTCCGCTTTAAATGGACCACAGCTCCATTTAAAGCCTGTCTCCTAGTGTGCAGGTGTGAATTCACAAATGACATTAATGTTAATGAAGAGAATCAGTTTTATGTCACTTTTCTGAAAACTAAATGCATCCAAATGGGATGTTGACTTGTAAGTCATTTATTTCCTCTTCAGATGCCCAGCAGAACAGAGAGTTGGTGATCCAGACGCTGGACAGCGTGGTGCAGGCTGGAGAGGGACGCCATGTCACACCGGGGTTACACCAACTTCCTGTCCGTCCTGTTACCCAGAATGGCAAACACATCACTGCTGCTGTTCCCACAGTAACCAGCTTTGCCAATTCATCTGGTAAGCTTTGTCCATTTCTCTTGACATTCTGATCTCTGTAGATCAGAATGTCAATAAAAAGTTAATTTAATTCAAGAAAGCAGGGTTCATACCGGTCATGGAAAACCTGGAAAGTCATGGAATTTAATTTTTTAATTTTCAAAACCTGGAAAGTTATTGAACTTCATTTCAGGTCATGGAAAGTCATGGAATTTTCAAATAAGGTCCAAAAATGCTCTTTTCCTTTTTGTGGTGCATGTGTTTCTGTGGTTCTCGTCTTTCATTTCGTCTGTGTGTCAGACATTGAGAAATCAGTCAAGGCCACAACTGTGGAAATGTCACTAAATTGCCAGCATATTGTCCAGTTTATTTGTCAACATCCTTGTTCTTATTGGATGCAAATTATACCGATTCAAATCCAAGCAATAATGTGACTTACTAATTACATGTTTCTTTTACCACTGTCATCTAACGCCTCCCCTTTTGACTCGCATGCAGCACTCTAAGACATGCGCAGAGTTTGTCTCAGAGCAGGAGAAGATGTCTATCTAATCGGTGGTAATAAGCGATAAGCATCAGTGAGTTATTTCTCACGATGGCAGACAACAGAAAATACAGCAGCAGAGCACAGGAAAGAAAAAGAAGAGTGTGACAGAGAGGTGATGAAGACAATATCTAAGCTAACAAGGTTAGGGGATAATCTGTGCTGATATTCGGGTAAAAACTGATGAGTTCGTGTTACTGGGCTGACCAAAAAAGCAAGGAGCTGTCAAAATATGGATGTTAATTTTAAAGTATCGGAACAGGTTCACAAGCTCATGTGGTGCTCTGCTCGCTTAAACTTAAAAAAGTGGAACTAACTTCATGGTGCGTTCATACCAAACGCGTTTTGAGCGTCAGACACGCCTGATTTACATTCAAAGTCTAAATGGAGGGCCGTTGCAGCGCATTTTCCAATGGGTCTGACACTCCACATAGACTTTGAATATAAACCAGATGCGCCTGATTCTCAAAACGCGTTTGGTGTGAACACATCTCTAGCCTCCAGCTAGCAGCAGCAGGAGGAGGAACTGTTCTACTGCTACAGGCGAAGGTCCAAAGTTTACAGAATAACTAAAGTGCGTCCTGCCCTGCCCTGACACGCAGCTAGAATCCAGTCATCACAGAATAAAAGTTTTGACCAGGTTTGGCTGTCAGAGGGGAAATACTCATCTTGGCTATCTGAGCTTGGTAAGGAAATAAACCTGATAATTAGAGAGAAAGATAGAACTGATAAAAATTGAAAGAGAATTGAGACAAATATAAAAAAGATAATTATGAAGGATAAATAAATACATTACATAGAAGTTTTTCTTTCTTAGAAATGCTCTGTCAAATATGTAGACATATTCAAGACGCTCAAGTACTTCTTTAATAACTACTAAATATATTTTCTTTGCAATAATGGTCTTTACATTGATTACAGTAATCAACTGTTCTGCAGACAAATGAAAAAGAAAGCAGCGGTGCACTGATTGGAATTTTCTGGCTGATCACCGATCTTTAAAAAACCTGACTTGATGGTTTATTTTTTTTGTGTGTGCAAAATATAGCAAAAAAGTCACTGACTTTAGGTGATTGTTGTAAACTGTGCAAATGGAGAGTTGACCTGGTGGGTGGGATTGTCCATTGGCCCTCTCTCATGACAGAGCAATAGGAAACAGTGGCTGATTACTGTATAGGGCCTGCACATTGGCTCAAGCCCAGGGGCCCACGCCCTCCTAAGTCCGGCCCTGTGGACGTATGACAATACTGTCTGCAATATAGTGATGCAACATTCACGAACGAGCCAATTCTTCTGAACAGCTCTTACTAATAGGAAGGAGCCACTTCTCAGTGAGAACCGTTCTTTGTTTTAATAGCTACTGCACACTGCAGTAGCTATTATTATTCTATTTTATGAACAATATATATTTATTAAATCATTGAATAAGCCTCCAATTAGTGGTGTTTCAGTGTGTGTGCCTGTCTGTTCTGAACTTTTGTAGAAGCAGTTAGGTCTATTGTTTGCATTTTTGTTTATGACATTATCTTCAGGTCATTCCTCAGTTAATTGACACTTTTCAATTCATACCTGTTATTTGTGTTTCCTCCCTATCTGCCTGCACCTTTACATGTTCGCTATAGTTCAACTTGGTGGGGTTACGTCTTTCAGCCTTATACTTTTCTTTATGAACCTGTTGTATGTGGGTCATGGAAAATTATACTGAAGGTCATGGAAAAGTCATGGAATTTTTTTTCTAAATGCCAGTGGGAACAGTATGAAAGGGATGCTCATACTGTAGATTGACTTTACACACAGCACCATATTTCTATTAATTATTACTGTCAGTTTAGCTGATTGTCTTACAGCTGATTAAAAACAGTTTCTCTAAACTCTGAAGATCATTTCAGAATGATAAAGGGCTTTTAGTCTAGACATATTAGCCTGCTGAAATTTTTGTAAAGTGTCTGCACTCAGTACTCAATCTGGACTCCTTTTGCATTAATGAGTGTAACATGGCATGGCATGGAGGAGGTCAGCCTATGGTCTGGTGTTGCTCATTTTTCTCTGGTTTTTATGAATATAATTCTATCCAGTTTTATTTCTAAAACAAGACACTTTACAAAAACGTCCAATTCAAGCTAAGGTAATATTTCTACTTTCTGAGACATTTTCAATCTGTTGGTAATTTAATTGTTCTGAATTATCCATAAGCAATGCCAGATTTAAAAAATCAGTATTTTTCCCACTGTGAAACATTCCATGTGTTTTAATTGGAGTTGCAACATTTTGGCCCAGAACTGATGAGAGAAGCTGTTCTGCTGCACCCAGCACCATCCATAAGAGCTAAACTCTGCTTTCTGCCTCCCAGGCCTGAGCAGCCCCCTGCAGATCCTGGCTGCCCAGGCATCCAGCTCCCCCCCGGTGCTGGTGGGCCGGCAATCCGGTGGAGACGCCTCCTCTAGATCAGCAGGTGAGCCGCTGGCGAAGCGGCCAAAGATGGAGGATGAAGGAGAGACTGCATCTGCTCAGCACCAAGCTACATCTGCCCCGCAGCCTGTTATTGTTACTATGACGTCACAAACCCATGAGCCCCGACAATGAAACCTGGGGTCTCTCACCAGGTATCCAACGGGCATCCTGTCATCTCCTGAATGTTTTGCCTTTTGACATAAATACGACTGTATTTGTTGAATGGAATGAATTTGGTCAAAATGACATAAAATGTATATTTGTTCTACATTTTAGAGGCGAGTGAATCTGGCTTCAGTTTGTTTCATCTTCCGTTAATCAAAGGAAACTGAAGATAATTAGGCCTGATGAGCAAAATGGTTTAGCACTGCTTTAACTTTCTAAACAATGGAGATAGGAATGTGGTGGAACTCCAGCCAAAGACCCATCCTTGACTGCTGCATTGGTTAGTTAGTTTGAATATGGAGACTCAGTGCAGCCTGTTGAATCCGGCAGCACATTAACCAGGTTTATGTCACCTGGGAGACCTGGATCATGACTGTAGTTTTATAAAAGAAGCAATATTCCTAGACAGTAAAATGAGACCCAAATCCCCCAAAAACAAACAGGCTCAGAGAAATAAAAGTATGAATATTAACCTTAAGACCAGAATGTAATACCTCTTGCCTTCTCATAGAAGCAAAAAAAAAAAAAAAAAAAAGGATGTTGAGGAAATGCAGGAAAGACAAAAAGACAAGCCAGGTGTTTCAGAGTGAAGCTCCTCACATTCAGGCCCAACAGACTGATGATGGAGGATGAAGAGAGGCAGCTACTGGAGGCTGACTGAAGTGGAGGGCTGACCCAATGCTGACAAATTGATTGTTTTTCATTTGTTTAGTTTGTGTAGTGGTGTGAGGAGAGGTGAAATGGCCTCCGCTCAGATTTGTTTTAGCACAAAGAGGAGCTATTGTAGTAGCTCAAAGCCTTAAAATATTTCTACTTATCTGAAATGTTATTTTAGCCTGTAGACAGCTTTACTGGTTTAGACTAATATAGCGCTTACAATCAGCAACACTACGGCAGCAGAAGTTACGTTGCGTCAATTAACTTTTCAGTTTTCTTAAGAGAAAAAAAGGGTGGGACCAACTCGTGACCAGAAATTTTACCTGTTCTCAGCTTTCTTTCCAGAACTTTCTGCATATTCTCTTCTTTCAGCTTGCTTTTCTTGCACTCCTCATTGACAGTTCTTCCTTCGTGATTAATCTCTCCTTCTCCCCCGTTCTTTTGTCTCCTCACTCTGCCTTTAGCACCTCAGAATGTCCTCACACAGGCTTCATGCTCAAGATTTCACTGATTGTTGTTGCACAACAGATGGATGCATTATGATTGTATGCTGCTCTGCTAAGTAACAAAGCTAATTAAAGTTCTTATTTTGGAAAAAAAAATTGCGTAAGAGCAGCTGTCATTGACAGGTAAACATGGGAATGGGTATTTTTTAATGTCCCTGTTTTTGTGATTTGTTAAAATGTGTAGCACAAATTAAAATTCTTATTGACATAACTCCTTGTCTTCTCTTACATAAGACAAAACGTAATATTTAAACAAGTTGATTTATTGTCAAAGAATCCAACAATATCTTGTTTTCTTGTGTACCATCATTCTTAATATAAATACTGATCACATTACATGCATGAGGTGATGCGCCATACAAACTAGATACAAAATTGAAATATTTTCAAAAAACAAATATAAAGCAGAGGAATAAAATTCACAAGGAAATAAAGTAACTGTGGTTAATAGGGAAAAAGATGGTCTAAAGTCCCACATTCTTAAATTTCAACATGTAATATTTTCCAGATTTCACTCAAACTTGGTTTTGGACCTAAATTTCTCTTATAATGAACTTTTCTAGAATGAGAGCAGATACACTGCAGATAAGTGGTGTGGTGTTCCATGCAGGAGGTGAAGCCCTGGGTCTAGTTGTCACTTTGGTCAGTTCATGACCCCATCTCTTCCTATGGACATTTCGTCATATGACTCTAAATGATAAAATGCTTAATAGTTGCACATTTTATAACTTTGTATTTCACCTTTGTTTCTTGATTGTACATCTGATTTGTCAGACGACTAATCAGAATTCTGATTGATTAGGAACCCTGATCAAACCAAAATAACTCAGAAGTAACCTTCTGCTAGGTGTTATTTATTGAACTCGTATCTTAATATTTATGACAACTGAGTAGATTATAGAAAATGTTTTAAAATGACCAATTGTTGGTACAAGACATCTTGCAGGTTAGTACAAATTGACAGCCTGAAATCTCCCACAGCAGTTTGGCCCCATGTCAGTTTTTTTAACCACCTTGTTACGATGTGTTGCCCTATCAGGCACAGAATGATGAAATATCCAACATAGCACTTTTAATTCTCACATTTATCCCGCTTCTTTCCATATGAAAGGCAACGTTGATGCAGTGCTGTCAGGTGTTTGGACTGAATGGCTCCATGACCTGCAGGGCCAATAAGACGGCACTGATGGAGCAGCAAAGTCATGACTTACAGTGGAGAAAAGAAGTTTTGATCATTTGTAGATTTACAAATTTGTTTACAAGCTTGCTTGCTTCACTTAAGAAATCCTACCATGAAAGGGTTTTAGCCTCAACAAGAAGGCAGTCCTTCCTTCAAATTATGGATACTGCGACTCCAATGTGCAGCAAGACACCAAAACGTTGCCAAGGGATCTTATGCAGGTCGCTCTCTCACCCAACAGGGTCACCCCAGAGAGCAATGTCTTTTTTCCCTTTCTAAAAAGTCTTTTCAAATTAATAAACAGCATTAGCTCACCTTCCTTCAGATCCAGTTAAAATGTGTTAGTCTATCAAAGGCAACTGGTTTCAGCAGAAAATTCCTCCGCGTGGATTTTTTTTAAATTATTTTGTTCTGTTCTAAACATGAACACTCAAGTGTTTTGTGTAACTGTACATGTTGCAGCAGCATGTAAAAAAAAGTTACTGTAATGCACAAACCAGAATAAAGAAGTGAAAATAAATACAGAAGTTTAAAAAAGGACACAAATAATTAAAGTCCCATCATTCCATAAAACATTTTCCATCAATAGGTCTTTGTTTTTTTTTCTCCTCACAAACAGGAATAAATCCCAAATTGCTTTCTGTTGTTCATCTAGCTGATAAAATATTTACAAGTATTTACAGTGTGAACAGAGCGGCACTGAGGACCTGAAGCTCAATGTTTCCACCAGGAGTCAGCTTCCTCAGCCAGAACCTTCAGGTGTTTTACATCCAAAGCCTGGTACAAAAAGTAAACATTCAATCACAAAAGTTGGATGGTGTCAAGAACTCCTAACAAACAACTTTATAAAACATTCCTTTCCAAAAGCACATCATCAAATGCTTTGACATAAACAGAAGGATGTCTCTCCAGTTTTACAGACGGCTGCTTCCAAGTGACAGCTGAGCAATGAATCAAGCTATTTCCAACTGGAATTAGAGCTGGAAATATTCCATACATTGAGGGGAATCTCCTGTGCTTTAAACACCAGGCTGCCTGATGATGATTTGTGATGCTATTTTACAAACTCAGGATTCCCAGTCTGATATTTACATATAAGCCATAGCTGTGTGAACCCTGCTGAGATTTGCACGTGTGTCAGCATCGTGGTGCTAGTGGGGCAGTGGTCAGCAGGACGAGGCACTGATCTTGTCTGAGACCTCGGGGTCCGACTTGGCTACCAGGAAACGCAGTCGACCCCCTCCCAGACGAATCAGATCCACCGCGCTGTCGGGGCAAGCAAACGGAAGTGAGAGAGGGAGGAGACGAAGAGTCTGGTTACATGGAGCTCAGCAGAGATGGAGTAACAATAAACAGCACATCACTGTGTGAGCTTGAACTGATCAATCAGCTTAAGAGGTCAACACCAGTTGTAAGATGAACACTGAGGGAAGATGGCTCTCTCCACCGCTCCTTTACCTCTGGTAGTCTGCTCCGATCAGACTGGTCCCATTCACTGCCAGGATGCGGTCGCCGATCCTCAGCCTGCCATCGGATGCAGCCGGCCCATCGGGGATCAGGGTCCGGATGTAAATGCCGGGAGCATTAAGGGGTGTGTGCTGCCAAACGGAAAGTTAGTTACTGCAGGTCAAGAGGATATAAGTGGATATAGTTTGGCTAAAATACACACTGGTTACTAAAATAAGATCAGATTTATTTTGATTCTCTTTTTACAATTGATAATTTACCTAAAAATCTACATTTTAGACCCTTTTACTTGGTAAGATTAGAATTGTGAAATTTCAAATTCCTTTCTGGTGCTTTTAATTTACAGTCAGTCCCAACATTGTGAAATGAGTAAAAGTGTGCTGATCGATCGGCCACCGGTTATTATCGGCCGATTTCCGTGAAAAAGTTCATACAAAAAGCTAGACAAAATAACCCGATAATTTAAATCAACGAGCTAGTGGTGTGAGATGCTGGTTCTGCTCCCGCTGTTGGACCGCCGCTACGTGCTACTGGTAGTAATATTTCAACAGACAGAGCTTTGCTCCACCCGCAGTGAACTCTCACACCGAACATCTGCATAAAGCTGCAACAGGTAAATAAACAAAAAAAGATTTTACATTTGTATTAAAACTTTTGCTACATGAGATAGATAATCTCTGAAAAAAAATTGATCGGCCTCCTTCCTGTGTTCTGCAGAATTTCTCCGCTCAGTCAGAAACAACCAATCAGAAGGAGCATTAATCAGCTAGAAAAGCTATCAGGAAGTTTTGATTCACTAGCTCAGTATTGTTTATTTTAAAGCAACCTGCATTTGACTTTGAATTAATATTTCTTTTTTTCTTGACATTATTTGAGATAGGCAGTGTTGTAAGATTTATTTCACTCATGTATAATTTAAGCTGTTAAGAATCTTACTGTTAAATATTGTTATACTGATTGCAGGTTTTTCAGTTGTCCTTTTGACTGAATTGCTGCTGTATTGTGCCTGCTAATATTTTGTAATTTATTTCTAAATTAGGTGAATTTATTGCCAGATCATTTTTCCATTTTGTCAGATCACATAGCAGCATTTATACCTGAAGCGAAAAATTAACAGCCAATCCAGGTGATCAGCAGAGATCGGTGATAGGCAAAGATCGGCCTCATGGGTGATCGGTATCGGCAGCAAAAAACCTGATCGGAGCATCCCTAGAAATGAGTAATGACTTCCATACTGCACCGCTTACATTTATTGATGCAACCTGCATCAATAAATAAATTCACATTTTATTGCAGCACTATTATCTCACTGCAAAACAGAAAAAAAGCAACTGGATCTTGCAGTCACCAAGTCTCCATAACAACCAACAGATGCCTACTTGCCTACCCATGTCCCATGGTAATCATATGACTTTAACTTGTACTACAGTTGCTGTATTGTGGTTGCTGAAACTTTAAGTAACAAGCAGTCCGGCTGAGCTTTTGTGTAAAACAAAAATAATTATGTGGAAAAGTAGAATATGTCCATAGTTTGACACTTCTTCCAGTATGTGGCATCCTGAAGAAGCTCATTTCAAATCTTCTCAAGAGAAGAATTTATGTTTGTGGTGCTATGAATTCTGTGCCATGCAGTCACCTGAAAAAGTTACTTAATTTTTTTATGATAATTTTTTATTGTCATCACAATAGTACAAAATAATTTTGTGATAAAATTCTGAATCTATATTGCCCACTCCTAA